TAGTGTGAAAGCACTTGCTGTGTGCTGTAATGCCTGAAACCAATATGTGTGCCTGTTATACAAGTGTAAAACCATTGACCATATTACATGTAAGAAAATCACACCTAAGGAGATTTCTGTATTTGATATTATGTAGGATATGTAGAAGGAACAGGGACAGAGAAAGACCCAAGAGAAAGTCAGTGAGGTCTGGATCATTGTTCGAGAAGTCAAAATTCCAGCCTGTTCTTTTGGATGACATTCATCTACAGGTATTCAAAAAATAATATATTCAGATCTTATATGGGATAAAGGAATGGGTCATGGTAAATTAAATCTACACCACTTTTTAGGATATACATATCAATCTAATTTGGAGAGTGTCTTATTTTTAACAAAACCATAGGGTCGGCCTACAATAGCTAACTGACAGCAAGTCCCCCCAGTTGCTGATAAATGCATGTATGAATGTTGTAGCAGAGTCTGGCTTCACTACGTTGCCAAATCTTCATTGTCAGTGTACTGAACTAGGAAATTTGTCTCCCTTTCACTGAAATACAGGTTCACACAGGGGCTCCAATTACGCCAAATTGATATGATAGAGGATGGGGTTGCTGGAAGCTCTCGAACTCTCTCGAAGATGGCCCAGAAAATAAGAAGCTTATGCATAAGCTCAATGGCATCATATGCTAGAAGGAAGGGCCAGGTTGTTGGAAGTCGCAGGGAGTTTGTGATGCTGGATGAGAGCAACTTTTGTCATAAGCGAAAGGTAGGGCAGACACAATGAATGATATTCTCAGAATGTTAAAGGGAAAATCCACCATAAAATAGAACTACACTGATCTTAGACATTTAAGTCAATATCTATAAAGACAACTGTCTTCCTAAGCTGGAAAGCATCAAGACTTGATTTGTGATCAGAATCAGAATCAGCTTTAATGACCAAGTATTTTGTGCATGCAAGGGATCTGTCTCACGTACAGAGGCTCAGTGAAGCAACTTTAGGGGTACACAATTAAAGGAAAAAAGATTCATGCATATTGAACAGCATAAAAAGAATAACGTGAGATTTATACCTGAAAATATTTAAAATGTAAAATTTTCATGTCTTTCAGTATGGACGAGGACGGTTCGCCAGCACCTGGCAAAGAAGAAAGTGGGTCTTTGGGATTTGGGTGTTGGCCAAAGCTACAACAGACCCATTTTAAAACTGGTTGATCACAGGTCCAGACATCATCTTCTCCCGCTAATTGTGCAACATGTGCGTCCTGGAAGCACCATCCTCAGTGATGAATGGCGGGGCTTCAGAGGGGCGGGCCTACAGAGGTGTACTAACCAATCATGGATACACACATTTTCCTGTTAACCACAATCGGTGGTTTGTTGACCCATTAACAGGCGGCCACACACAGAATCTGGAGAGAGCATGGGCCATATACAAGGGGATGGTATGGCGACTGCGAGGGAACAGAACAAAGGCCCTGCTAAAAGAGCATCTCTTAGTAATTGAGTGGACCTACTGGCTAGCTAACCACCACAAAGATGGTCCTTTTGGGAGAAAAATTAAGTATATAAGGCTTAGGTACAGCTTGTAAGAACACCCTGCTACCTCCCTCTCTTTCCGACCCCCCACCAGCCTCATTCAGGCATTAGTTTTTAATGTTCTTGTTCAAATTAATTAATCTGCATTTTTAAAACTCCTCTTCACTCACAAATATGTTTTTAATGGTTTTATAGGCTTTACATGAAGATTTTGTTTAAAATAAGATGCAAGGGACATGAGGAAGAGTTCTTTTTTCGGGGAAACTGTAAAATCCCTGTTTTGTTATTCCTTTGAAAGAATGTTAAGTGTTACATTTTTAAAATAAAATAACGGCACTTTTTCAGATTTTGCATGAAGTCTTAATCTTTTTAAATTTGGAATGAATCATGTTGATGACAGATGCTTATGATTAGTTAAATTCCATTTGGAAATGTTTCACTAATGTTCAGTATCTGTGTGATTGCTTCAAATATTCAAGGGTCACACATAGCAGTAGTATCTGATCAGTTATGGTTAAAAAATTATTTTGTGTTCCTTAATAAATACATGTTTTAGACTTTACAGGGTCACAGAGAGCATTAACAAATGGTTAATTAAGGTTAAGTAATGGTTACTCACTACTGTTACACATTTTTAAAGAGCATTAATAAATGCGTAATTACGAGTAAGTAATGCTTACAGTATACAGCAGGGGTGGGCAAGTCAGGTCCTCGAGAGCTACCACCGTGCATGCTTTCCAACTATCCATGCCCTGTCCACCGCTGCATACCTGCATCATGTGTGTTCAGTCAATCAGAAGCTGGAAGATACCACCTTAGATGAACGTGGAGCGAGGACAAAGTGAATTCGTTGGTTGGAGGATGGACAAGTAAGTGGACAATTATGCTTAAGGGGACATTAAAACAGCCTTCTCCTAATTAAACTGCTAAGCTGTGAACTTCGTGAAATAAATGTTAATATCTTTATTGACAATTTACTAGTATTACCAAGAGACATTTAAGCAGCGTCGTTAAAAACTTAAATATATGAGGTAATACTTTAATATGAAAAACATTAGTACATGATTAATAAATGCATTAGTTACCTATTAGTTAATGCTTATTACTGCATTAAGTACGGTTAATTAATGTACCCTTATTGTAAAGTGTTACCATAATATTTAATATAATATAATTCTATAATATTTTCTGTTACAAAATACAAGGTTATTAGTTTCAACTTTAAATCGTACCTTGTTCTCAGAAGCAGTCGGATGTAAGCATTTTATGAAAATATGAATGGAAGAGCACACAGGACAAGAACATTACAAGCATGCACTTTCCAAAAATACACTAACTGACAATGATTGCACAGTGATCACACAAAAAGTGCCTGGGGAGGAGACATACCAGCTGCAGCCAGGCATTTGTGATCAACACTTGGTTCTTTTCATCCTGGATGTGAACAAGAATAAAAGACAGAAAATAATTAGTAAATAAGACTTTAGACACAAAGTCTGCATGGTGAGAAAAAAATAAATAAATATGGCATATCTGGTAAACATAAGGTGAGATTATTATGTGACAAATTGGTAATGAAGACTAATTTCCCTGAGATGACTCCAAGCTGTTGTGCTCGCTCAATAATAATGATGGTGCACTCCATCTTTGTTCTCTTCTAGGAAATTGTTGTAATGTAACACAGCATAATTCATGTTCTGCCATTTTATACACAATCATACCTAAGAAAACAAAAAGCCCAATAAAATAGGGTAAACTGCTATTTGTGCAGGAAGCAGATTGAGTACACTGAGTGGAACAGAAGGGGCTCTTCAACACAGAGATGAGATTACAAACGTTTCTATCATCATGAAAACAGACATCCACTGTTACTCCAAATGTATTTTATTACATTTTACAGAGGTCAGCTCATGAGCAAATGGTCAGAGACAGAAAAAATTGGGGAGGGCAGAACTAAGGAGAAGGAAAAACTAAAGCACTGAGAGTGAGAGAAATCAAGACTGACAACGAAGCAGAACAGAAGAGTAGAAGAACCAGAGTTTGGAATAGGCATCTTTAGAGTGTGTTTTGCACAATCCTACATGGCAGTGACAGGTTTTGTTGAGTGCAACACACTGGTAGACTGTGTTGCCTCCTTTCCCCTGAAAAATTATACAAACTGTCTGACAGTGATAGTTGGTCACAGTGGCATCTACTATTTTTATTGTGTTTCTTTCACTTGCTGCTTTAAAGTGCCTTAAATTTGTGTTACTGTCTTTTTAGATTTGTGTTATTGCTCATCTACTTTATATTTCACTTGTATTGTGTGGCATTCATGTGAAGGGCAAAGTAAGAATTTCATTGTACAGGGAACCACGTTTCCTAACTGTGCATATGACAAATAAACACTTTGACCTTTGACCTTTGACTCTACATTTCTCTGTGTATTAGACCTAAACAAAATCACTGAAGTGATGTTACTCTATCTTCTACCCATGACTGAAGCTGCAATAATACAGCAAATCCAACCCTTTGAAAATGTTTCCTTTAATGCTACTGCATTAAAATCAAATTATAAAATCATTTTACTCACTTTATTTCTTTATATTTCTTACCCCAACAGACCTAATCTACCATATAAGGTAGTTTTCTTCTTCTCACTATTTTTGATGTGGAATCTGAAAACCAGACAATCTATTGTTGTGAGAAAGTCATAGAGCAGAGCTTAGATTCGGCCCGAAAGGACGGTTTATGTCCATATTTATAGTGACTGATTTTTTAAAATCTCTGTTGTGGTGATTTACAGTTTGTTGTAGAAATAGTGGAGAATGGAAAAAATTATCAGCACTCATCCCTCCTGCCAGTTTATTAGGTAGCTAAAAATAGTGCACTATAATACAACAGTTAAATCCTCATTTCATGAAGGTGATAAGGTTCAGTTTTTGTTGAGTCGTACTAGGGAGGCCTGGATTCAACTTTATCATCATTGCGGAGGCTCTAGTTTGCGGCGCTGTTGAACTGTGCTACATTATTCAGGGATGTGTGATGTTGTAGTCCACCTTCACTTAAATGGAGTCTGAAATACATTTCAGTGCATGCATACAGTTTCAGACTTTCACTTGTCAAATTTATCTGCAAATGCGGCTCATTTCAGTTTTGTAAAAGCCTTGATTTTACTGTACTGCACTGGTATTTAATTCTTTATTGTTTACACTCTGACTAAAAGAAGAATAAAAGATCTGTGTGATTTGTCAGTGCTTTACACTTTCATTTCTGATGTGTAGATGTGGCCTGTCTCTGCCTTTGAGTAAAGAAACAGTCACGTCTGAAGGTGAGTTTAGCCCTGGTAAAGCTCATAAAGCTCCATAACAGTCCATTTAAATATGCCCTGTGGAGTTTGCCAATCTGTGGATTCTTGAGGTCCAGTGGTGAAAAATAACTAAATACATTTACTGAAGTACTGAACATAAGTGCAACTTTAAGGCACTTGTACTTGAGTATTTCTGTTTCATGCTATTTTATACAGTGCCTCTACTCAGATTCATTTATTTCTTTTCTACACTTAATTCTGTATTTGCTTCCTTTTTTTGGCATCGTTATCCCCGCCAGCTGTTGAGCAGTAGCGTGAAACAGACTAGGATTTGAATCACACTGCCCACTGGCTCAGATGATGCATGATACAAGCAAAATGGTAACTCATTTGTAAATACTTTATCTCAGTATTTAACTTTGACTATGCCTGCATGTTTGCAGGTTTGAACGGTTACTCAACAGCTGGCTTTAAATCCAGGGTGATAGGTCACCAATAAAATGAATAAGATAAGACATTAGATGCCTGTTTTCAGTGAAAATAACATTGGAAAAAAACTTGTTTTATATACGTGATGAAAATGACTCTACTAGTACAAAGAATTACATTGACTGTGTAACTGCTTTAAAGACGTACTTAACCAACTTCTTAAACTTTACGTTATCAATAACATGACAAGCAAACTTGCTGCTCTTACTTCTTCTTTTAGTGAAAATCGATTCTCACACAGTTGCCGCTTCTCTATCTCACCCCCACCTCTTCACCTCCTCCCAGTCTTATCTCCACCTGTTCTCTCTGATCTGTCCCTCTTTGAAACAGCCCCCTCTTTCTGCAGCTGAAATGGAACAGTCTGCCTTGTGTGCTTCACAAAGCAATGTTTTTCTGTCGCCTTGGTGTGCAATCTAGCGTACTTCAGCTTTGCTTCATGGTTGCTGTATTTTTTTTGCTATATTTTGTGCCTGACCTCTCTTTTGTGGTGTTTTGTGGGATTCTGCTTAGCTGCAATGGGTGGTATCAGCCATGTCACACTCACTATAAACACTCCAATCTCCTCATAAATCTGCTCTGGCCGGTTTTAGACAAAATGGAAAAGGATTGATGGTCACATTTAGTGAAAGCTCCTTAATTGTATTATATTGCAAGTCTTCTGACATCATCTGACATCAAGGACAAAAACATATTTTATATACTTAAACTGATGCTTTACTCTAAGTCCTAATGTACTCTGTATTGTTTCAAAAAATGGCTTTTCTTCTTTGAAATTAATCCAGTTTTATCCCCAGTGGGGGATAACTTCCTACATTTTTTCCCAAGGACCCAAAGGATCAGCATTTCAAAATCAATGAGAATGAACAAAAAGAAATACTGAAATCAAAAATCATGTCTTCCATACTGTGCTTTCTGGGCTTGGCTTCACCTTAGATTTTTATCAATCAGCTGCAAAACAGATCTGTCACAGAACATTGTGTCAGAT